AGGAGTGCTGAGGCATAGGAGCACATGCACCCCAATGTTCATAGCAGCACTCTCCACAATAGCCAAAACATGGAAAGAGCCTAAGTGTCCATCAACAGACGAATGGATCAAGAAGATGCGGTTTATCTATACCATGGAATACTACATGGCAATGAGAAACAGTGAGATCTGGCCATGTGTAGCAACATGGATGGACCTTGAGGGTGTTATGCTGAGCGAAATAAGTCAGGCAGAGAAGGACAAATACCATATGTTTGCACGTATAGGAGGATTAGGAGGAACTTGAAGGAGGAACAAGGGGGAGAAGAAGGGCGGAAATGGTGGGGGAAAGGGAGAGAGGCAAACCATGAGAGACTCTTGAATGCTGACAAAAACTGAGGACTGATGGATGTGGGGGGGAGGAGGGATGGGCATGGAGGAGGGCACTTGTGGGGATGAGCACTGAGTGTTATGTGGAAACTAATTTGACAATAAACTATTTAAAAAAAAAAAAGAAAAGAAATAAACATTGAAAAAAAATTTTTAAATCAAGTGATGGGGAATAAACACCAGCTGGCTAGCTCTCAGGAGCACCGGTAGGTGTCTGGGCAACCAAAGTAAATTTGGAAACAGAGAAAACGAGACAGGTTCTAATGGCTCACGATCAATGGAGATGTGTCGCACTAATAAATGGTTTCTGTGCAGTAAACTGCGAGCAACAGCAGAATGCTTCCTGCCAAATCCTCTAGAAAACACATTTCTCTCCAGTTCTTCTCGAAGGCAGCAAAGCTCCCATTGCCTGCGTAACCTGATTATGTGGGAACAGAAGGGCAGCCACTACTTGCTAGCACCTCGGTCCCCCAGCCCGGAGACAGCCGGGGGACGGGGGGAAGGAGAGCCTCGGTTTCCCCCCTGAGGTCAGTCCTGCGGACTGAGAGGCGCCCCCGCCCAGTCTCCAGGTGACCTGGGTGCCCACCAGCTCTTCACTGCCATCCATGACTCGTGATGGAGTTTAGGACCCCACCCCAGAGAAGGCCTTCTCTTGACAGGATAGTTCCTTTTTTGCAGTCTACCCAAAGTGCACTTATTTGGGGGAGATTCAGGAGCTGGAATACCATGTAAGAACACTAGGATTCTTAGAACAAATTCTTGTCTGCCCTGTGTGCCTCCCCTCCTCCTCCGTGGCCTTGGCTGTGTCATCCCAAATCTGCCTGGTCCCTCCGGCCCGGCTCACACACCTGACCACCCTCTTCTCCATCTGCCACCTGTGTTATTGGAACGAGAGTTACCAGCAGATGAAAGCTTTTGATAATTCACTAGCACAATCCGTATCTGTGCTCATTAAATGCAGATGGAGGAAAAGAAAGTTCTATCGCACTGAGGAAATCCACGAACCGTGTGACACAGTATCATGACAAACTTTGAGCCATAAAGACTAAGCAGATGAACAGAGCAATGACTTCTCCTACTTTGCACTGTTCTGGCAAATGTGTGCCAGCATAATGCTCTACCACCCAGTGTGGCTTCCTCGAAGCTAACTTGTCGGTGCAAAGCTTTGACTCTGGTTCCCCATCGGAATGAGTGTTTTTCAAGATTTTTGTCACATCATTAATAACTTCACTCAGAGATCACACATCTTTACTTCAAATAAAGCATTCAGCCATGTAGTTAGCGTCTTGTTGACCTCACTTACAAACAACCCTTGACGGCTCAGTAGAAGTATGACTAATTGCTTATCTCGTGTCTTTACTTACAAACTACTTCAGAGATGTTGTTAATTATCTCTCCACGGCTCACAAGTGAGGGATATAAAAAGATGAATCTGTGTCTTTGAAATCATTTCATAAAAATACATGTGTAAACGTGCATGCACACAAAGACACTTTGCAGATTAGTTATCTGCAAAACAAGATGATTAGTTCTAAACTTCCGTGCGATAGTCCTAAGCTAGGAATTTGATGCCGTTATCTCCAGGCAGCGCTCTCCCGTCGAAAGGTCAAATTGTTCGGTTTTTCCCGTTAAACTTACAAACACAAAAGAGAAGCGCACGATTATCCGATCAGCTTTGTCAGGACGCTCTCGCTCCTCAAGCAAGGATGCCCGTGTGCCTTGAAGACCCTTCCGACAGGCCAGCCGGGGATGGCTGGGGCCCTCGAAGTGGCCAGGGCCCCAGACGTCAGTCCCCACTGGTGGCGAAGCTGAGGGGCTCGGCCACAAACACGGGACCCCTCTCTCCTTTTCACACATTGTCTGGCGTTAAACCCAAGCACTTCCTCCAAACTTAGCGTTTGACCAGCTCATCGTGTTTTGAAGCTCAGAAAAGTCAGCCCAGTCTTGGTATCACGTTGGTCCTGGGTGAGGACCAGCCCTCCGAATTGTTCTGTTCTGCCAAGCGCCTTATAAATGTCATTTGGAAAGTGATAAAGGCAGTGCTTAGTGCAGCTTGTGGGAATAACCGTGGCCCGGACGGTATGCACAGCAAAGACCATGCAAAGCAGATGGAACTCAAAAGTAAATGGTAAAGAAACAAAAGAACACACTGGAACCTGCAATAAACGAGCCCAGAGCAGCGACCGACTCCCCTGCTTAGCCGGGAGTCTCCTTGAAGGTCCCCCACAGAGCTCTCCATGTGTCAGCCTGCTTTCAGGATCTTAGTTTTAGAGTTGGGATTTTTTTTAATGTTTTTAATGGTTTTTTTAAATTTTTTAATGTTTTATTTTTGAGAGAGAGATAGAGACAGCATGAGCAGGGGAGGGTCAGAGAGAGAGGGAGATACAGAATCTGAAGACAGGCTCCAGGCTCTGAGCTGTCAGCACAGAACCCGACATGGGGCTCGAACTCATGGACTGTGAGATCATGACCTGGGCTGAAGTTGGATGCTTAACCAACCGAGCCACTCAGGGGCCCCAATGTTTATTTATTTTTGAAGGAGACAGACACAGAGTGTGAGCAGAGGAGGATCAGAGAGAGAGAGGGAGACACAGAATCTGAAGACAGGCTCCAGGCTCCGAGCTGTCAGCACAAAGCCCAACACCGGGCNACAAGGACAATCAACAGTTTTGAAAATCATTTTCCAAATGAAAATGAAAACCTCTGGGATGAATTTGTTTCTGTAGGGTGGGTATTGCACTCACATAAAGATTTAGCTGACAACTAACAAAAAAGAATTTGGTAAATAGATGGGAGAAACAGCTGTCCAGGAAGGTATCTGTTGCCAGGACTGTTTGGAATGTTCTGGAATTCCCAGGAGGCCTGAGTGTGCTTTGCCAGCTTCAGTTAGCTCACTGATGATTGTATGCCTTTTGAAAATCACATTTTTTTTTTAAGTTTAAATTTTTTTTTTTAAATGTTTTATTTATTTCTAGGAGAGAGAGAGACAGTGTGAACAGGGAAGGGTCAGAGAGAGAGGGAGTCACAGACTGAAACAGGCTCCAGGCTCCGAGCTGGCAGTCAGCTCAGAGCCCGACGCGGGGCTCGAACCCACGAACCGCGAGATCATGACCTAAGCGAAAGTCGGACGCTTAACCGACCAAGCCACCCAGGCGCCCCTGAATTAGTTCATTTAAAAACTACATTGGTGGGGTGCCTGGGGGGTTCAGTCGGTTAAGTGTCTGACTTCGGCTCAGGTCATGATCTCATGGTTTGTGAGTTTGAGCCCTGCATCAGGTTCTGTGCTGACAGCTCAGAGCCTGGAGCCTATTTCAGATTCTGTGTCTCCCTCTCTCTGCCCCTCCCCAGCTCATGCTGTCTCAAAAATAAATAAACGTTACAAATAAAAAAAAAACCTACATTGGTGGAAATATAAATTTGATTCGGTTAGACTTTCCTGAATGTGAGCTACCTTTGAGTCCCCCCCCCCCCATACTGTATTCCCCCAGGGAGGGAGGTGGCCGCAGATGTGGACAGAGACACAGAACAAACGTGAGAGCCTGAAACTCAAAGCTGTATTTATCTCAGGAACAATAACGCCTGAGTTCTTTCATTGCCCAGAAATTATTTCAATGTTTTAAAAAAAACTACTGGAAGTACAGAAAGCTCATCTTTATAAAAATTATTATACCTTTAGTTTGCTTCCTGTGGAAAGGTCAGAGGGCCTAGATCCAATTAATGGTAAAAATCCACTGCAGTCCACGACATAATTTAGTAGTGACTACATTTTATTATTCCTCCATCTCCGAGACAGAAGCTTCCACTGTGTTATGTTCCCTGAGCCCATTCAGAAAGGGACTCATTATATGGACTAAATCTCTGAATATATATAAAAAATTAGAACAAAAAAGTCCCTGCCGTTTCTCTCAGAAAGGAATCCTGCTGCAGCAAATAAATGCAGCCTCCTTGAGTACAGGATGTGGGACGAAGCTGACTCACGTCCAGGTCCCTTCTGGAAACGAGTCTTGGAAGTGACCACTTGGTACCCTGAGAACCAGGAGGGACGGAGCCGATCCCGTGCAGGGGCAGCTCTGTGTGTCTGTGCTTGGAGCGCTGGAGTTGGGGTGGGCTCTCCCTCCGGGAATGGCTGGAATTCTCCAGGCGACAGGAGGCTGGGGGAGCCGGGGTCACCGGTGGCGGGACAGAGGGACTGCGCAGCCCAGTGACAGTCCATCAGCCCCGCGACTCCTCCCGGCCCACAGGGGACGCAGGTGGAAGGGGCAGAATCGTGCTCTGGGGGAGCCGGGGCACGTTGCCACAGACCGGCTGGGGCAGACTGTCTGCTGGGTGGGGTAGGGGTCACACAAGCCCATCCCCCAGGCCGGCCGAACCTGACGCGGTCACCCCTGCGCAGAGTCCAGGCAGACGAAAGTCTGCTCTGCTGGCGACAGTGAGGCCCTGCGGGTGGGCAGGGAAAATGCCCTCGGTGCCACGGGGCTCGCCCCTCCCCCACGGCCAAGTGCACCGCATGGATGCCTGTAAGGGCGTGAGGAAGGGGAGCTGTCCGGGGTTCTTTGTGCAGCGCCCTCAGCAAAGAGGACACATCTACCACTGTGTCACCGACGTGACCCATGTCATACCTCACGGCCCAGCCCCACCACCATTAGGCCCCACGGCTCCCCAGGTGCCGGTGTGACCAGGTCCACAGCCAGCCCCTCCCACTCAGCCCACTCGCTCTTGCCGCGCCCCTCCCTGCACCGCTCATCCTGGCCTCCCCTTCCTAGAAGGCCAGTGACCGTCTGCTGAGAAGCCCCCACGTCCCCGTGCTCTGTGCCCTCCATGGTTTCCCGGTGGGTGTGGACAGCAAGATGGATCCGAATCAAAGTCTGAGAGCCACAGGACCAGGTGCGTGCAGGAACACAGATCCGGGAGGGCCATTCCCAACGCCCACCTTCAGTGGTCAGCCCCAGAGCAGGGCAGTGGGGACAGGCCAGCGCAGGGGAGCCACCGGCCCGTGCAGCGGAGCCCCTGCACCTCTCTCCCTGCACCCACAAGAAAGCACCCCCCGGGCGCACCGTGAACATGAGGAGCGGATTCCCTGGCGGTGCGGGGCATGCTTTCCTCTCTGCTTCCCCCTGCACATAACTGAGAAATGGTCAGCCCTCACTGACATCAGTCATCACTGCCCGCCCCCCAGGGCCGGACAAGCCACTTGGCTCCCACCGTCAGAAGCTTTACAAACCAACACCGTGTCCGAGGAGGCCTGGGAAAAAGGAGAAAGCCGAAACGAAGTGGATTCCCGTTCCAGAAGCTGCTTTCGCTCTGACAGGTGGGCAGTGAGTGCATGCCTCTTTCATCTCCACTTGTCTGTTGTCCCAGTCACCAGCCTGTTACCTGCTCACGGGCCAAGCGAACTGACGTTAATGAAGAACGGCTCCAGGTCCTTCACGTATCTTATCCCGCCTGTGAGTCCGGGGATCAGGGAATGCCGAGGTCGTCCGCTGGGAGGCACGCAGCCTGGCGAGGCTCCTGGGTAGGGATTACACAGCACTGTACGAGGTGTAGCCCCGCACATCACAGCCTGCACTCACCCAGCACCTGAATGACTGAGCCAGGAAACGTCAAACAATGTAATAAAGAACCCATTTCCCTTCTCTTCCTTTGAAAGCCACAGGCCTCTATTCCACCCCGACTGGGGCAGAGGGGGCACCAGACACCAGTGCTGTAAGGATTTGTCGTGTGGGAGACACGGCCTCTGTGTGAACACAATAAACACAGAAGTTCATACCGTTCCCAGCCCGGAAACTCAACACCATTGTATCTGAGTATGTTTTCCAGTAGTTGGCTACCATTTAATAAATTATTAATAATAATCCTCCCCTTGAGGTGCCTGGGGGGGGCTCAGTCAGTTAAGCGTCCAACTTCGGCTCAGGTCATGATCTCATGGTTAGTGGGTTCGAGCCCCTCGTAGGGCTCTGTGCTAACAGCTCAGAGCCTGGAGCCTGCTTCGGATTCTGTGTCTTCCTCTCTCTCTGCCCCTCCCCCCTTCAAAAAGAAATAAACATTAGAGCTGACCACCGTGTCACAGCTGCCTGGTACGATGCCTGGCACATAGTAGGTGTTCATGAAATAGTCTTGCCATTAAATAAATGGCGAAGAGAAGGGGGTCCTCTCCCAGCTCTCACTTCCCTTGGCCGCTCTGCCCTGCATGCCGCTAGAGCCCTCTTTCCAAAGCACTCATCTGTTTTAAGAACTGGGGGGTGAGAAATGTTCTCCTCTGAGGAAGATTAGGCGCTTCTTAATCTCAAAATATATGTTCATCAGGAGGACTATTTTTGTAAAAATAAAGGATAACCAGAGAGAATGCACAATAGAACTGTAATTTCAACAATGGAATTCACCCCGTTCGTTTGAAGCACCGGCAGTATATATTACTCTGCATTAGCTACAATGATAAATAGTGTTTTTAAGATTCAAACACATCAATTACAGCGTTCCTGGGTATTCAGACATCTTTTCCTGTTCCATTTTGTACACAGATCCTCTCAGACTTCAAATCAACGCTTCAAAAATATTTATTTGTTAACTGTAAACCCACGGTGGCCATTCTTAACTTTAATATTCTTGTGGAAACCAGGAAAACCAAGTTCGCCTTGAGCAAAATGTATTCATCATACTAAATGACATACGGTTTTGTTATCTGTCCAGATAAAAAGGATACTGGTAAGGTTGGAGGTAAAAGTAAATCTTAAACATATTTTCTAAACCGGTCTGTCTCCGAGGGCTAAAACTCCATTAGCAGTCCAATCTTTTGTGCCAAACATTATTCTGTGTATTTATTCCTCTAGTAAAAATAAGTCACTAACATTTTAGTATAATTTACCCTTAAGAAATCACTTTTCTACAAGTAGGATGGAAGAAGAGAACAGAAAAATGGAAGGCAATGGGGCAGAAGATTAAAAATTCTGCTTCGCATAGCCCGTGGATGAGGACATTCTCTCCCCACCTCCCCTGACAATAATCAGGATTTGGGAGGAAAGAGTCTTCCTACTCTAACGAATGAGAATGGAGACTGGGGGGAAAAATCTTAAATACAGTCTCTGAATCTCTTATCCGCCACTCACAACACTACCCAAAATCTAGTGTGCCGAGAATACCAGCAACCCTAATTCCCAAATTCCATTTTTAAAATAATAAATTAATGTTTTAAGAACCTGCACCATGGCGCCACCTGGTGCCCGCAGGGAGAAAGGTGGCTCAAGCCAAGGGACGGTCTGGTCCCCTTTGTTAGCTCAAGTGATGGAAACAGAAGAACACAACAGTTGTCTGTCATCACGTTAAGTCCTATCTGCTACTAAAAACATGTACCGTCTGAAAATAAACTTGGAAATTATTCATAGCTTATCCCAAATCATCTTATTTTGAGAGCGAATACATTACGTCCTGCTAATATCAACGCTGAGCTCTTGCAACGGAGCCACTTGGCTAAGTCTTTCCACATCGACGTGTTTTTGAATCATAAAATCATTTTCCAAATGCACATGCGAGCGACATTTCTCGGTCGTGGAAAGTCGCGGCCCGGACGGAAGCTTCCTCGCTGAAACGCTGTTCCCGACGGAGCAGGGTCCCCTCCCAGAAGGTAGATTCAGAAGCCCGCATCAGAAACTGACCCGGAGACTCAAAATAATTAGGGAAATAAAAGTGCACAGACTCAGTCGCCGTTACCTTTCCTCCCCTGAACACGAGCCCGTCTCGGAACTGCGTCCCAAGCTCCCGCCGCACCTCGGAGGCGCCGTCTGTCAGCCGGCCACGCCCCCGGGGGGCCCCACTAACGGCCCCCAGTCGCCGCATTCACAGAATGACTGTAAAACACAGAAGGCCACGTTGCGTGTTGGACCGCATCCCGATTCCTTCCCGACGCGCCCTCCCGCACAGACAGCCCCGGCTCACGTGGCCCTGTGGGTCGGCGCCCCCCAGCCTCACACACCCGCCCGGGGCCCGCCGAGCCAGAGGTGGCTTCCACACGCACGTCCTCCCTCAACACACGCGCTCCTCGCGGTCCCCCTTTCCAGAACATTCTCTCCCCGTCGCAGTGCGAGGCCTCCAGGCTGCTGTTCAAGTCCCGATTCTTCACAATCCCCCTCTGCGGCCTCCCCCGCTTTCCCGAACGGGTGAAGACGCCCGCACTTCACGCGGGGTTTCTGCAGGGGCTTCACACGTCCATGTTGATGTCTGAGTCACATCCTCTGCGCGCCTCCAGGATGAGGCCTGTCCACCGGCGAGCCGGGTAGAGACCTACCGCTGAGCCTCCATCCGGTGTCCAGGACACGGATACGTCCGGCGGCGGCTGCCCCGCGGCTGTGCTCCCGGCGGCTCCCAGGAACTCGCCCCGCCCGCAGGAGGCGGGGCCCAAGCACGAGGCGGAGCCCCGGGCCAGGCGCCGGAAGGGCGGGGCCGCGCCAGGGCCACGCCCACGCCCACGCGGAAGGGGCGGGGTGAGGACAGGCCGCCCGGCACCGCGGGCGCCCCGTCGGAGCCGCGGCACCGCCCAGGCCTGAGGTGTGCGGCCTACCACCACCATCCCAGTGGCGGCCGGGCCGGGAGCCCTGCGGGCGGCCGCGGGGCGCCCCGCAACAGGTGCGGCGGTCGGGAGGGGCCGGGCTGGGGCCGCACCCAGCGGTGGAGTCCCGCCTCCCCGCCCCCACACGACCTCCGCGCGCCTCGGGCCCACCGACCTGCCTGACAGGTGAGGGGGAGCCCGGAGAGAATGCGGCTCCCAACGCGTCCGGAGAACCCCAAATCCACGCCAGGCTGCACTCTGCAAAGGCCCCTCTGTCTCCCCCAAACACCCCACGCACGGCCCCCACGCGGGAGCTGCGGGGTGGTGCCCGGTGTCCGCAGACGTGGCCCTGCCTGGGAGCCCCCACCCGAGGAGCGAGGAGCGCGCCTAGGCAGGGGCCGCCGGGACCAGCGCTGAAGGCCGCACCCCCTCAGCCGCGCGCTCTTTAAAGCCCCCTAGAGCCTGGGCTCTGGTGGGCGGGGCCCCGGGGCCAGAAGCCCAGGCTGGGAACTGCCCGCCTCCCCCTTCCCCGTGAGCTCAACCGCGTCCACAGGCAGAAGGGATCCTCTACCCTGGCTCTACATTACCAGTCGGTCTGGGAATCGATCCTCTGACCCCGGATTCTTGCCAACCTTACCACACATGGAGGAAGAGCCGGGAAGGCTGCAAGGACTTTGAGGACGGACAGGAGACGAGGAACGGGCCCCACGTGTGATGCTGCGCCACCCCTTACATGATGAGGCGGGAGGGAGCTACGCACCCGACCCCGGGCCGGCCCTCACGTCCAGCCTCCCCCTCTGACTCCAGCCGGACCAAGGCCAGCCTGGGATGGGGGCGAGCTGGCCGTGGCCCACTGCTGGTGGGGACGTGGGACGCCGAGGAAAGGTCTGGCGGTCCCCAAACCGTGAGGCACAGAGCCACCATGTGATGCACCGAAAACAAACACGCGCTCGCAGACGCTCAGAGCAGCGCCGGCCACAGCAGCAGACGGTGGGCCTGGCCCCGACGTCCCCAGCACAAACCGCCACATCCAGTCCACGCGCGCTGGGGTTGCACTGGCCGCGGAAGGAAGTGAAGTGCACGAGCCCAGGCACGGACGCTGCTGGAAAACGGCGCCGCGTGAGAGAAGCCTGTCACCAAGAGTCCCGTGTGACAGGAGTCGTGTGTGTGTGAAGCGTCCAGAGCAGTAAACCCCTCGGGACAGAAAGCAGAAGACTGGTCCCCAGGCTGTGGGGGGAGGGAGGCGTGGGGTGACCATTGATGGGGCCGGGGTCTCCTGGGGTGAAGAAAATATTTAGGAGCCACGTGGAGGTGACAGTTGTACGTGAATGTGCAGATGCCACTGAATTACTCCTTCTAAGTGATCGCTTTTACATGAGGGGAATTTCACCTGAGTAACAAATAGAAACACTCAGATTTAGCCTGAGATGTAGTGGGACTAAACGTAACTACCACTTTTTCTTACAACTTCTGTTCTGGAATTGGACCATTGAGGTAAATGCAGAGGGCCCGGCAAGGGCTCAGAGCTCAGCCTCTCAGAGCTTCTGAGGGACGCCCCCCCCCGCCCCGCCCCGCCACAGACAACAGCTAAGCACATTCGGCCTGCGACACCAGATCCAAATACATGTGTGAAGACCCCACGGATTGAGCCAGTTATTGCACAAACCATACGCGGCACACAGAAGCACACCCCTGGGACCACCCCTCCCCCGGCGGGCCCCCCTCTGCTGTCATGGGGCAGGCGTCCAGGGTCACCTCTTCTGACATAGCTTCAGGGTACATTCCATCCCCCCCACCCCCCACCCCCCGGAGAGCAAGCTGTGTGATCCTGAGCAGCTGTGTAGGGGTATCCCCTTTGGGATGAGGGCTCTCCCAGGTAAGGCTGACGAGTGGGACTGAGGGCAAGGCCGCTGCAGGGGTACTGGCTTGCAGATTCATCCAGAGGGAGGCTTTTGCCCTCCATCCGTCTCCACTTCACCTCACGTCCATCACCAGAGGCCTGCGGATGCTCAGCTCCATATGGGAAAGCCTCACTCCTCACTTTGCCACAGAAACACTTGGATTTCTTTACAGCAGAGGTGCCGCGTCTTCTAAAAAGATGCTTCACACGGATGCTGGCTGCCTGTGTCGCCCTCTCTGCTCTGGGCTGGGTTCTGACTCTCATACGCCATCTGCTTTTCCCCACCGTCTACGTTGACACAGCACATCGGCTCTGTGTTTCCCTGGCCGCCTGGTGTTCCCATGGTCTAGAGGTGACCACGGGGTGTCAGCCCGTTAAAGTGGGCACGGTAGCCCCCCAGACCACCCTGCACATCAGAAGGGGCAGCAAAGCCTGGCAAACGAGCGCCCTCCGCAAACACCCACCCAGGCAGAATACAGTACAGCCGTTGTGACCATCACCACCATTTTACTCAATAGTTACAAAAAGAAGGGGGGGAAAGCCTTATAAATTAAGTCAATTATCACCAATATTTAAAGGAACACTGTGGGAAATTATTTCATAATTATTTTATAATTCACCCCATAATTTATTGATCTATAATTATTTTTAAGAGACGCAAGCCTCTATTATTAGCATCGTAACATCAGTTAACATCTTCCTTGAAGCAAAAGGTTTAGCAACATCACCCAAGATTAAGTAATAATGCACAATCATTATTGACAGTATTCTAAGTGAGACAGTCTTCAGAAGTGTCGCCAGAAGGGTTAGTCTACTGAGAAAGGAGAAAGGGAGAGACATGGAGGCCGAGGGAGCAAAGAGAGGAAGGAAGGAAGAGAAAGAGAGGAGAGAGACAGACAATGCCTGAAACTGTCTAATGAAGTTGCTGCAGGATCTACTCAAATACCGAGCACTTTTGATGTCAGGATAATAGAGCGTGCGCGTGTGTGTGCGCGTGTGTGTGTCTAGGGGGTGTTATTCTGAAAGTTGCCAAGCATAAAGAATTACTCAAAAGGGAAATCCTAAACCCAAAATAATAGCCAACACATTCTGTTCTGGAGCAGCCGAGATTCCAAGAAAGGGGAGAAGGATCCAGTCCCTGATCACCTAACCCATGTTCTGGCAAAGAATCCTTCTAAACACTCATAGAGCAAGCCACAGGGAACCTCGAAGGGAAAAGACTCTGCAATGGAAACAGAACCTGCGCAAGCGTCCAGAGGTGCCCTCAGGACACGGGACACGGCAGGCTACCTGGCCTCCGCAGTCCCCTTCACTCAACATCCCCTGCTATTACCTGTTCAGGAGTTTCAAATCCTCCTCGCTTACAAGTGAAATCACAACAGGAGACTTTTTTTTTTTTTCTAGGAGAGAGAGAGAGAGAGACAGCGTGAGCAGGGGAGGGTCAGAGAGAGAGGGAGATACAGACTCTGAAATAGGCTCCAGGCTCTGAGCTGGCAGTCAGCACAGAGCCTGACACGGGGCTCGAACCCATGAACCGCGAGATCATGACCTGAGCGAAAGCTGGACGCTTAACCAACTAAGCCACCCAGGCGCCCCAACAGGAGACTTTTTAAAGAGAACTGGGTTCCGCATAGTAACAGGTTACAAATGTTGTAATTGTGGATGCGTACGTCAAGCGTGCACCCCATTTTGGACTTCCTCTCTGTGCTGGTCTGAGGTTTGGTCACGGACACAACCGTGAAAGCACCCTGAGAAATGAAATAGGGAAGGCAGAGAAAATACTTGGCGCACTTAACAACTGACGGAAAAAGTAAGATAAAACACCACGTAAGGTACACCATGTAGAACAGCTAAGTCTCTTATTTAAAGGTCTATCAGGGCAGAGGTGGACAAAGCCATTAGGGACAGACCACGGGGCCTCAGCAGGATACCAGAGATTGCGGGTAATGGCCGGCTCGCAGGGCCTTTGAGAAGGAAATGAAAAGGTCTCAGTGACACAGCAGCAATGGGAAGTGTCAAGCAGGATACGTCCTGGGTTTCAGGCTCACACACTTAGTTGGGGACGCCATTCTCTGAACTAGGCACACAGGAGGGGACGGGAGAGTGTGTGCGATGGAAGCATCGGGTGGGTGTCAGATAAGCCACTCTGTAACCAGGAGACACCCCGATGAAATGAGAAAAGACTATGCCTGTAAAGAGATGAGGACTCTCACATGGAAAAGACACAAGTGCAAAGGCCCTGAGGCAGGTGTGCATTTGGTGTGCTCAAGCCCAGCAGCGAGGCCGAGAGCACCCCAGGGGCTGGAAGACCAGAGCTGAGGCGGTGCAGAGCCTGGAGACAGTAGGAATCCAGGAAAGGTGAGTCCCTCCTCCTGTGGCCCCTGCAAGGGCCCCCACGTAAGAGGGAGCCCAGCCTAAGAAGCACAGATAGGTTCCCCTTCAGAAAAGTCACGAGTTACTTTTGTAACACGAATAATCACTTCAGAATCTATTTCTACATCACCATTTCCCCTCAGGCGATCTGACTGTCTCCTGGTAAGTCATGATTCTGTCTCATTCGTGGTCCTGTTCTCAAGCCTAAAATTTCCAACTTATCATTTTTTTTCTCCAGACTGAGGTTTAAACTAGAGCAAAAATGCGCTACTAATGAGCTAGAGATAGCATGTGGGTAGAGTAATACCAAAATCTAAAATTGGCTTTTGATCCATAAAGAACACAAAATTCATCATTGTGCTTTTCATTTCTGTCAGCCTTCTCCGGGTGAAGCCCATTTCAGAAAGAATCTTTATTATATAGAATCACAGAGTACCTGCCCCGCAGTGAGAAAGAGATGGACCAGGTGATTGAAGTCCACGGGTAATCCAGAAACCTCATTTCAGTGCAATTTCAAAACTTTATACATCAATACTTCATTA